ACAAGGAATTTCTTGCGAAAACTAGGATACTACATTGTGAGGCCATTTTAATAGCACAAAGCAGGAAGTATGATGTTGCGTACCACTTTGCTGTTGCTTTTAATCCAAATGTGTTAATGTTTGCCACATTGAGTTATTTAACTTTTTACTTTTTTCAAAGAATTTTTAGAGTATGTAACTTATTGGGAACAAGATGACTTATTGCTTTTCAATTTATTTAGCGATTTTCAGTTTAATTAGAAATTCTAACACTATTACTTTAAGGAGCTTGCTATCAAACTGACTTAATTGTTGGGATGGTTGAAAACCGAGATCGAAGAGACGCCACAAAAAGAGGTGTCAATAAGTACTACATTTTAAAGTTCTCAAACAGTTGACGAGCTTTTTTTTCTATGCTTGCATCTTGTACTCGTAGAACATACACCAGCTCAAACATCAATAAAGCAAATTTAACTGAAATTCCAGATAGTAAACTGAAAATTTTTTCTTGCGTCTTTAACTTTATTCGCACTACCCGATGCATTGAGTGTATTTCGGCGGAATGCAATATTTTTGCCAGCTATTTTTTATTCTATTTATGACATTATGAACAGTTGAGAAGTGAAAAATGTATAAAATAATCATCAGGCATCGAGACCCTAAAATACCAAAAATGTCAAAATTGTGCTTTTTAGATCAAATCTTAAATTCTAAGCATTTATTCATTGCTCATAAAAGTTGAAGAAAACTTTTTAGTTTTCATTATTGATATTTATATAATTACAGTTTCCTATTATTTGGCGCTTCAAAGGTATTGAAACCAAATTCGGCAAAGAGTAGAAGCAGGTTTCAATGTGAAGGTATTTTCTTCTTTATTGTATTTGTATGTAAGTTTGTTTATTTCAAATTTTTTTGTCCTTAATAATTTTGATTTTCTACTTTTAATAGCTGTCAAGCAAAACTTTCTGGTTTAATGTCTGTATATTTTGATAAATAAATAACAAATAGTTTCACAAAGATGGCAACTCCGAAAAATCTTTTTCAGTAACTTATTATGTTGTTTGATGTAAAACAAATAATTTATTTTAATTTTTTGCAAAAATATCAACTCTGTTTAAAACATCTTTGGTCCTTAGTATTTTGCACATGAACTCTGTACTAAAAATTTTTCGATTTTTTGTTTCGTACGCTCTTATGGCATTTGTGTTGTGAAATAATTTTTTGTTAGAAAGTGTGGCGAGATTATTTAAAATGTTTTTTTTTTATCTTTTTTTTTTTTTTTTTTTTTTTTTTTTTCTTTTTTTCTTAATATTTAAAAAAATTTCTTTAGAAATATATTATAGGAAAATATTTTTTAGAAGAGTGGCCACTCTCTTAAAAACTAACTTTACCTGAATACTGTCTGGAAATTCGATAATGCTATGATGCTAATTTCACTAAAATATAAGCGACGATTACGGTTTTCCTATATGAAATAAATTTATTGAAAGGGTGGCAACATTATTTAACATATTTTTTTAATCTTAATATCAGAATAAAATTTCATTAGAAATATATTAAAGTAAACATTTTTCAGCAGCATGGCAACTCTTTTAAAAGCTAACTAAAAAAAATTTTTCTTACACAAAGTTGCTAGTTAGTTTTTTTGACCTTGCTCAAATAGCTGCTGAAGTAAAGAAATTCAATTTACCATTTCCTTTGTTTTCTGAAAATGGAATTTGATTCTTCTATATACACTATGCGTATTCCTTTGCTGCCAAATAAGCACTGCAGCAGCTGTGCATAATTTCGAAGAAAAAATTTATAATTAAAAGAAAAAAAAAGAATTAAATGTAAATGCAAATGCATGAGCTCATTTCTAGGTATTACCTTCTATAAACGAAATTTATTCTAAAAAAATATAATAAATATATTTGCTGCCGTGTGTCAAATTACACCCCAAAATTCCAGTTAAGCCCAGACCTTTTATTAACTTGTATAAACACACATTTTGTTTCAGCAAATGGCAATGATAGCAACAAAATGGCAATAATTATTTGCATTTGAACTCATAAAAATTTTTATTTGCATAACCGACGAATATGCAAATTACCGTATGATTCTTATTTGTGTGCACAATAATTTCACGCCCCAAAATAACATCACGCGAAATTCCAAAGAACATTGTGACGACACACAATTTATACTATTTGTACGTGAACGCAAAGTTCAAACGAAATTCGCGCAAAAACAAATTTTTTTTCTTGTATGCAAACAAACATAGTAAGTCAGAATAATACATAGCAGGACAATAGTAAACGAATACGGCGGCTTTATTTGCAAAATAATAGAAAATTTTGAAGCAGTCAAAAAACTCAAATAAAACTCCAAAAAAATTGGCGAAAAATGCAAATTGACCGTGAATATTTAAGCAGAAATATAAACAGCGTCGAGGAAAAAGATATGTGTTAACAACAGCTGTCGATGCGTAATAAGAATTCAGTGAGTACTCGTGCTGACACACATATTATATGAGTAGAGAAATGTATGAACTTTTAGTATAACATATACACAGCGAAAGTTGAAATATTTGAAATTGAAGAAAAATGTGAATAAAAACATATATTTACCAGCTATTAAGCACAATAAATTAGTTTTTTACTACCATACTTAAACTCTTATTACTCATAACTCTAAATATCACTAAATACTGCATTGTTATAAGCAACATAATATTTGTTGTTGTATATAATTATAAAAAATATAGGCTAGAATTAAAATAATAATGGAAAATCTCCATATGTCATCACCAAACTGCATAAAAGTGGTATAAAAACAGCCATATCTACTATGCACATGCTTAATTGCCTGCAAGTTTGTTGCTTAAGTCTTTCGATTTACACTAAAAGGGTCATAAAATTTAATGGTATCGTCGAAATCGATGTAGTAGGTGGTTAAGATCAATGCCAAATGGTTGACATAAAATTCAGCAAGACACAGCGCCACATGTGGTGCGCTTTGATTTTGATTTTAATTTTATTATTGTCATTGTTGTTTTATTTCGTGTTTTTAGTGCAGAAGCACAGCAAAAAATATGCAAACACAATTTAAAATGCACCAATGCCGAATGACACGAAATATTGAAGGCCAATATTGAAATGCAGAGACAGAAATGAAGTAAAGAGCAAACGATAAGCACAACGAATGCGTGAAGGTAGAGCAAATTAATCAAATTTTTATTTAATGTTTGTAGAGTTATTAATTTAATATTGTCTATGACATATAAATTGAAACCAAAATGCTAATATAAAAATATCAACTTTATTTTAATTAATGTCATACATACATAATAATAAAGTAATAGATGCATTTCTGTAAGTCCATATGTGTGTAAGACAAATATGTATGTATGTGAGTATTCAGGCTTTAACAAAATCGAAATCGCCACCTATATTTTGGTGGAATTTTCATGATAGGATAATCGAAACTTCTGACAGTCTTTAAGTAAAGTTAGTTTTTAACAGAGTTTCCACTCTTCTTAAAATTTTTTTATTAAAATATATTTCTAAAGATAAAAATATTTT